GGGATGCACTGGGAATTCACTGGGAATTCACTGGGAATGCACTGGGGGTGCTGCTGTTCCTTGTCTCGATGCCATATAATGGGATTCACTGGTAATTCATTTTCCTCCTCCGTGTATAGGCTGGGGTCCTGCAATCATGCAATGTAATCTGCATATATAGACATTTATACTGACTTTTATATACATTTTTATATGTTATATATTTATAATTTAATTACTACTATTTATATACCTATATGTGATTTACTCTAATTAATATATTTATATCTGTACATTTTATATATTACCATATTACAATTTATATAGTGACCTGTATTTTATGAATATTTATAATTTTATATGTGATATATTTTATATTTTATATTTTATATTTTATATTTTATATTTTTCCATTTATAGTTTATAGTTTATATTTATTTATATATAGATATTTAAAGTCCATACAATTTCAGACTGCCCTAATAATCATATATAATATAATGATAATACATAACATAGTATAAATATATAACACAATAATATTGCTGAATATGTCATAATATATATTAATAATATAAATTATATATTATTATACATTATATTCTAAGATATCTATTCTATATTTTTAATATATATAATATATATAATATAATATAATATAATATAATATAATATAATATAATATAATATAATATAATATAATATTATTATTACTATATAGCATAATGATACTTTAGCTACTATGATATCATGCTAAGTGCAATACTGGAGGAATGAGCTTTCTTGGCACTCCTGGTGCCTGGGCCGGCCCCGCTCCGGGCGCTCGGGGCACAGGAGGGTCCCGTGCCCGCAGCCGTGCCCATCCTGGCACCAGGGCCGGCCCCGCTCCAGGCGCTCGGGGCACAGGAGGGTCCCGTGCCCGCAGCCGTGCCCGTCCCGCAGGAGGATGCTGCGGCTGTGCGGGGAGGCCGAGGAGCAGCTGGCGCAGGAGCTGATCCACTTCGAGCTGCAGGTGGAGAGGGATGTGATCGAGCCGCTCTTTCTGCTGGCTGAGGTGTGCTGCCCAGAGCCTTTTCCTGCCTTTTCCTGCCTTTTCCTGCCTTTTCCTGCCTTTCCCTGCCTTTCCCTGCCTTTCCCTGCCTTTCCCTGCCTTTCCCTGCCTTTCCCTGCCTTTCCCTGCCTTTCCCTGCCTTTCCCTGCCTTTTTACTGCCTTTTTCTGCCTTTTCCTGTCTTTTCATGCACTCTCCCAGAGCCCTTTTCCTGCCCTCTCCCAGCCCCGGGAGTTTCCATCCCCGGGGCTGCTCCTCAGGGTTCTGGAGCTCGTTTCGGGTGGAACCAGGAGGGACCGGCCGGGCCATGCCCTGAGGATGTTTTGTTTTGGAGCTGCATCCTCACCCCCCAGCCCATCCCCCGTGTGTGACCCACCCCGGACACCTCTCCAGGGCTGTCACCCCTCCTGTTCCCCGTGCTGCTGCAGGTGGAAATCCCAAATATCCAAAAGCAGAGGAAGCACCTGGCGAAGCTCGTGCTGGACATGGACTCCTCCAGGACGAGGTAGGAAGTGCCTCCGAGTGCTTCACGAGGAACAAACGTTCCCAAGCCGCGGGTGGCTCCCAGGGCAGCAGCTCCGGGGCCCTGGCACCGCAGGTCCCGGGACACCGGGACAAGGAGCCCTGGCTGTGGCTCTGGGGGCTCGAGTCGAGCCCTGCGATGAGCCACCATTTCTGCTCCTGTCCTCAAAACCCGGGAGGGTTTCCTGGCCTGCCCTCCGCAGCAAAAGTGTATTTTTTTCTGGCAGAAAGGGTTGTTTTGTGCTTATTTCCCTGTCTCGGTGAGTTGTGATACAGAGACCTGGGTGCTCCTGCCCCTGCAGTGGCAGCGAGGGGAGCTGGGATGGCATTGTCCCATGGCACTGCTGAGCTGTCCAACCCCCACGCCAGCCTGCCCTGGGACAGGTCTGAGAGGTGCCCACAGTGCCCAGCGTGTGCCCAGGCTCTGCCATCCCCTTCCTCTCTCTTCCCTCCGGGACACGGCTCCTTGTCCTGCTGAAGGAATTCCATCCCTGGATAGGGCTCCTTATCCTGCTGAAGGAATTCCTTCCCGGGATAGGGCTCCTTATCCTGCTGAAGGAATTC